AGACAGTTTGTATCCAGAAACAACTTCCAGATAAAAGTTTAAACCCCAATACAAAATCATGAAGTCGGTTGCTTACTGTAAACTTTGGTCGAAACTATGTACTATAGACACGGAAAAATCAACAGGATTGGATGAACTATACTCTGAAATTCTGAAGCGAATAGCACAAATTATTGCAACACCACTAACTGTGATATTTAAAATATCACTTGACCCAGGTTAGTTACTTACGGACTGGAAGGATGCAGCCGTCACTCCAATACATAAAACAGAATCAAGACTGCCTCCATCAAACTGTAGACCTATCAATCTCATCAGTGTCGTAGTTTAAATAAGGAAAAGAGTAATCAAAAATACAATAGTGACATTCGTGTAAACCAATAACTTATGAAACAAAGAACAACATGGTTTCACGAAAGGATTTTCTTGTACAACAAACCTCCTTATAGTAAGAGATCAACGAACAGAGGCAGATGTTACCTGCGTAGACTTCAGTAAGGCATTTGATAGGGTGCCTAAAAATAGATTTCTCTCCAGGCTGGAAAATGTATGAGTTACCATACCTCTCTCGAAATGAATTAAAGAATTCTTGGTAGATCTTGGGCGGAAAGACCCTCTTAGAAGCCAGCAATTAGTGGAGTACTTCGGGATTCTATACCAGGTCCTTTATTTTTTACACTGTATGTAAGCAAACTCTCAAGTACAGTTTAGTCCCCGATGATACGACACTCCAATGACGTAAAAATCTGGCGGAAAATAACAACGAACGTAAACTAAGATGCTATGGTTAGCTGGTCTGCAAGATGGTAGATGTCTATCGACGCAGCCGTGTGTCTACGTGCACAGTGGAGATGCAGAGGTTGATAGGTGCAACATAGGAAAGAGCCAGTGCCCGTAGTCCGACCTCAAAGTGGTCTTGGGGAGAAAGTAAACCTGTAGTGGCATGGGCTCCTAACCACACGACCTTTGAAGCTGAGTATATAATTACTGAAAAGACATATTTAGCAACTGACACGGAGAACCCGGGGACATTCAATTAACTTCAATCGGATGACATGGCTTAGCATTGCAGACTTAGTCATTCTGTGTAGTCAGTCTTTATTCACGTTGAATATATTATTCTACCTTTAGTTTAAATGTGTTCTTCAGAAGCAACAGACGTTATATGACCTATTCTTATGATACGTTGAATCAGAATAGATAATGATGTGACTTCTAAGTAAGATATTTTTAGCGTGGCGTCGAGTCGCGTTTTGACTGTGGTCACCACTACAAGAAGGTTGCGTACTAGATATCAAAAAGCGGTTGGAGGTTGTAGCGAGATATATTTGTTGACGATCTCGTGATATCGAAAGAATACCGAGATCGCGCCAAAGGAGTTCAAGCGGATTCACTGCGCAAACGTAAGCGCGTACAAGGTCACAATCAATGGAAGAAAGAATGTCTTTGGTACAGTTAAACAAACAAGTACAGTAAAACAATCACTGGTACAATTGGTTATAATAGTAATCGTTTCCGTTACACCGATTGCGTTCAGTTAATAAAAGTAGGTTACTACATATTATCGATCAGGCAGTCACGTCATGACAAATATACAGTTTAAGGATTAGATATACTATTAGAACAGTACTAATAGCGAAGTAGAATATAATTCTACGAGCCATAGTCTTAATACCACAGTCTACAGTCGCGCGGTCGCAGCTAGGGGGTTTAGAACTCGAATGGCTTTAAGTCAGATACTAATATGTTCACCACAGTACAAACAACTTTAGTGAGATCAAAACTTGATGGGATACGCCAGAAAAATTATCTTGGAAAACGTGTAGAGGGAAACCACAAAGGATCAAGAACAAACAAAATGCTCGTGGCATATATGTTTCCACACCCAGTCATCATTTGTTGTAACCCGTTGCCCAAAGAAGTGCTGTCCGCTTCTTCAACGGATTCACTCAAGAAAGAACTTAACGCTCTCATAATTTCATTAGAAAATCACTAACCTAGTTCATAGGCCGTCAATCCTCAATGCACAAATCTGAAAATCTTTTGTCGAACGATCGAATGTTTTCACATTCACGCTCCTCAGTACTTTCAGTTACTTTGACAGTTCATAATTTACTGTGCATAGAAGTCTGTCAAGTCGAACTTTCATAAAGACAATTAGCTTATCTACACACTATATGGTTCCGAGCTTGATTTAATCCAGTTTAGCCAAACTGCATATCCACAAATACTATTTGAGGGGGTCACTAGTGATTGGAATAACCTTCGTTTTCCTTCATTTCAATCCCCTAAATTTCAAATGCAAGACAATTATGGGTTGACCGATTTCTTCGACGAGCTCTTAACTACCAAAATAAGCCGGCTGATACACTTTGCTTGGGTTTATTCAAAATGAAACTTGAAAATCGAGACAGCGTGTTCAAAAATGACAGCGGATCAAGAAGATATTTTTATATAAACATTAGCTTATTTTTGCAGATACACATTCATAAATGTATTACAGCATATATTATTAATCCTTGCTTTTAGTATTCATATAGTGTGACTTGAGAACTGGAAATATTTGGCAGATTAGAAACTGATAAATTGGTTGTTAATGACTTCACCGTTTAGGATGTATTTACATTACTCAACTCCTAAACCTGTTTTTTGTATCTCTGACCTCGGACATTTTAGTTTCGCTCTATACGTGGTCCGGTATTTTGGAAAATTTTGCTCAGAGAACTTCAAATTTTGAGGTTTGTTCTGTAGTTATTAATCTTGCAATTATAACGATATATTTGAGTTGATTACTTGTAAACTGAGAATACACTTTGATACCTGAATTTGACAGGCCATATAATGCAAAGATCAAGCACAAAAGCAAATTGAAACCGGCTATTCCATTCGCGAACTGTCAAGATCATGAAAAAACGTAGAAAGTAAAAAGAATATCAACTTTGAAAACCCTGTGTAGGTAGGCTGACTGTCCATTTATATAAGGCTCATGCAGGCAAACTGGTCGTGAAAGCTCACGCGTTTCAAATTGAAAACATAAACTGCTTATATATAAACGCCGCGGGTTTATCGAATAAAATGTATGAGCTGCGTGAACTCCGTAATGCGTATAATACTCATCTTAAAAGAATATCTGAGACATGAGTATCTCCTCTATTTACGGACCAGGGGCTAGCAATATCCGGGATGTCTTCGTTTCGCAATGACAGAAAAAACAAGAATGGGAGGTGAAGTATGCCTGTACCTGCGATCTTGCTTGGTAGCACATTAAGTCTACTCTCAAGAGTTTATCAATTTCGATGAATTCGTATGGTGTTCACTAAGATTTTCTAACACCTCGAAGTGTCTAGTTGAAGTCGTCGGTCGGAAGCTGCAGCATTTAGCAAGGACACTTCTCTTGGCCGGGATAGGGTTCATTCTGCTATACTGAGGAAATCAGCTTCAATCTTAGTAAAATTGCTTGACGTGATGTTCTCAGACTCGCTAAGCCAGGGCGCATTACCAGAAAATTGGATGCTGGCCTACATTACACCAATTTTCAATGGAGATCGACGCACCGAACCTTTAAGCCACAGGCCGGTGGCAGCTCTCTATGCCCTCAATAACTATGGAGTCCTTGATAGGTGGCGGTCTATGCGACTGTTTACTATCCACAAACGTCTTTTCAGTCCAACAACACGGCCTCAGAAAAGGTTACTCTTGTAAAACCAACCCGTCGATCGCAGTAGACAGATAGACAACCATCCTTGATCGAAAGGAGAAGGTTGACGACATTTACCTTGACTTCTCAAAAGCTTTTGATAGGGTAAACCATACACGTCCTATCAATAATCCCAAACGATTAGGTATCAAATCATCTTCAATTGATTGGCTCACTTCAAATCTAAAACATCGACATTTTATGGTCGGGGTTAACTTCACTTTCTCTCAGGCTATAGAATGTGCTAGTGGGGTCCTCCGGTGTTCAGTAATAGGACCTCTTCTCATATAACTCCCTTCTAGAGGCATCCCAAGTTGAAGAAGATCTAGGAGTGTTTGTACCCTGTGATTTGAAGTCTTGTGCTGACTGAGACGAAATTGCCTTTTGAACAAAGCTTGCTCTTGTAGAGTTGAAGCGCATTTTTGGTCAGAATTTTTCACATAATCGACGGTTTTATCTGTTCCGATTTAAAGTGCGAAAACGTAGTATTTTCTCCCTTACTCCAAAAAGATAAGGGCACTCTTGAACGCATCCAACGGCGAGCCATCGAATTAGTCCGGAGAGTCAAATTCAAGTCATATGACTCGCATTTCCACTCACTGAACCTTTATCCGTTGGAGTACAGGGGTTTTAGAGATGGCTCACGACTTACGGATTCCTAAACTCTTCCGAACACCCCACTAAACACCTACTTAAGCTTAGCCCCAACAGAAAACATAGCGGTAACATCCAGAAACTAGAAACGCGACACGGCAGAACGGACTGTGGGCGCACCTTCTATTCCTTAAGAGTACTGAAATGTTGGAATTTTCCATCAGTTGAGCTAGTCCAGACTACCTTTCAGGAGTCTTTTAGGAGAAAATGTAACATATCTTTGAGGACTAAGGATAGTATCGCACTATTATTTATTAATATTTTTTTCTTCTTTCGTTAATATACCTGACTATTGCCTGGAAGCGTCGGAGATCCACTGATACTAGATACGGAAGCCCATTAAGCGAAAGCTTTTCCTGTTCCGCCCACAACCATTTGAACCATTTTAATCAGATTACAAGATGTGAAAATCCAAAATGAACTAATAAATGGACTAAAATTAGTACAGTTCAGCGGCTAGATAACTATTTATCGGACATCACAAAACAACTGAAACTGTACTGAAACGACAAAATGTCGGTGCAAAGGAAACAATCGGTTTATACAAGCTATTGGACATTGGAAGGTTTTTCGGGGTAGCTGTTGGTGCGCTTCTCTTGATATTAGTGTTACTACTGTATTCCTAAAGTTCCTTTGTCTTTATTTGGACATGCCCATCCACAGACATATCAAAAATGTCGTTCACAATTATACAGACGCCGAAAGAAAAGTTCGAGAAGCTACATCGAACGACCCATGGGGTCCTAGCAGCACTTTAATGGCTGAAATAGCTGACAAGACTCATAATGTTATGGCATTCACAGAAATAATGCAAATGATTTGGAGAAGACTCAATGATAAGAGTAAAAACTGGCGCCATGTTTATAAGGCTCTTGTTCTTTTGGAATACTTGTCAAAGACTGGTAGTGATAAGGTCGCTACTCAGTGCCGAGAAAATATCCACTCAATAGAAACGTTGCGAGTAAGTTCTACGTGGTTTACGTAACCAGCCTATTTTCGATTAACTTTTCGATTCACTCATTCAAAACCTAGAACCTAGGAGTTTAATATAGGAGCTAAAACATCCAGATGGCTTTATGTGGACCAAGTTTTATCTCATTAACTAATTAGAGACAGCTATCGTTGTTTACGTAGTCCTAAAGAATACAAGCTCTTTACTTGAGCTACTGATCGTTTTCAACTATTTGCCTTGCCTTATAGTATTACTAAAATGAGAAAGATTATAATTTATGGACTACCTTTAAGCGATACTAAAGTGGATGTGAGACACTTCAACCATTTACAAGCGTAAAAGTGGGGTCACAAAGCGGTATGAAGAATCGAACCTAGGAGCTATAATAAGGTATGCGGTTTAGGGATCGAAGTTAATGCGACACTAGCTGTAATGCCGAAATACCATTTAACCATATGGTTGAGTAAATTCCGTGCAAATACCTAAATGTATGTGTCATGTTCTATTTTTTTCTAACCACTGTTTATTTAGAAGCATGAATGATTTAGGAAAATCTAGAGGCGTCTTTGGATTCAGTATCAGTCTATAGAGTCATTGACTGTTGAGCTGGGCCGTGTTGGTAAACACAGACTACCTGGAGTCCACGAGATAACTAAGATTATCAGTCAGAGACATTGGTCGACTTGACCCGGAGCTGATCATAGTAGTGCAAATACTCATTTTTAATCTCCACCTTAATCTTGGGTTTTACTACTCCACACATACCTTCACAACATCCATTCTTTCGAAGCATGTTTCTAGTCCTTAGTCGTTTTCACCATTGTTGATAATGCTATTCACTTTTTAAATTCATTTCATTGTGCTGATGTGTTATAGCATATTAATCATGATCAGGATAATGAGAGCATTATAATTCATGTACTACCTTAATTAATCTTATAGTAAAGCAAAAAGTATGGTAATACCATGTAAATATATGGTTCTTTCTGTTACCAACTTTTCTCGTCTCTTATTGTTTACTGAATCCTTCATCAGGTCCAGAAACACTTGAAAACTGCCTGGTACTAACAGTAGTGTATGCTTTACGTAGTTCTCACCTAATAAGATATTTCTTTGGTATATTGATTAGGTTTCTCTGTTACAGTTTGTTAGCACTTGTCTTTCCAGATCTTGTCACTTTGTGTTGGCGGGTATGGATCAGATTAAAACATGTTCCGTTCAGGATTGTGTTGAGACACGCTAATTAATTATTTCTTAACCAATCGGCGTTAGCGGATACTTGGAGATGACTCTTGAATCTTCTCATGTAAAATCATGAGTATGCTAATGTTTTTCTTACTACGATTATTACTCCCACTCAATTTTGTTTATTCCGAATATAATTACGTTCTGTTAAACCGTTTCCTGGTTTGGGGACTTGTCGAGTGAGGTAAAGTGTTTGAATACTAAGCAATTAATGTGGATGGGTTGTAATAAGAGAGAACATAACACCTTGGAATCCTGTATTTTATGTGAGCTTCTTGACTGTATCATATGGTTTTTTATATCCTTTGTTTGGGATTTGTTCTTCTGTAGTTCCCAGGTATTACAATTTTATAGTACTGATTTTGCAAACATCCGACATTTCCTTAACTTCAGTCTTAGCTTGGTCATCACCAGGCCATGACCTAAAGCGCCATCAGCTCCTCCTTTTTTCACATATTCGGCGAACCTCCTGAATATTTCATTCATGCATCTGTAAACGATCTGGGTTTCTAGTTTAGCCCAATGAAGCCCATGTAACCTTGTGGTTGCGTTTGTGGGCGAGAATGTTTCTATGTTGCTGGAAGCACATGCATTTACCAGTTTCTCACTATTTTTGTCCCTTATTTCCCCGTTCACGTCACCTTATGATGCCTTCATGCCAGGAACTTTCCATTCCGACTTAAGGATTTAGGTCTCCTACCAGAGTGGTTAGTTCCTGTTGTTGGTACTTCTGTAGGATAGACTGCAACCTCATAAATTTGGTCTTTATCGTCCTCACTCCCATCACTGACAGGTGTGTAGCATTGGATAAATTAATTGCTATATTTTCCTTCTTTGTTTTAAAGGATGTCTCGATCATAGAGCCATAAGTTTCCCATCTTATTAGCGCATTCCGCTCTTCTTTGGGCAGTGTCAGTAAAACTTTTGTGTGTGATACATTTTCTTCTCCGTGACTGGAATACAATAACGACTCTCCTGAAACCAATCTTTTTTTATCCAGTTTTGCATAAAGTGAGTTCCAATCATTCTATGTGTCTCCAAGTTGTATCTTCTCATTTCTGTGGCTGTTTGAATGACTCACCTGGTCTCCCACATTGTCTGGACATCCCGCATACAAATATTAATTGTTGTGGTTGCCGAATAAGCCATTGACTTTGTGGCTTCTGAGGACGTGTCATAAATATATATGAAGGCCCCTCAACTCCCAGAGTAAAGTTTAGTTTGTTTATGCCCATTTTCGATTTTCTTTATGAGGTAGGATTGCTAAACCTACTCCTGACCTTCCCTTATCATATTTCGGGACCAGCATTAGTCCCAGACGGTGCCCAGATGGAATTATTTAAAATATTGACCTCCACCGTGCTTCATAGGTTGTCAAAAACGCTTGAAAAACTGAATCGTGAGGAGCAGAGTGGTTTTTGTGTTTTGACGACTGATATAAACACCTCAGGTAGAGTGAAAGCTTACCACCACCTCTACTCATTATTGCATTCCAGCAGTGTTGTTATGGAGGGTTGTTCAGCCTCACCATTCCTTTTTAAGTTTGCTACCTATGACATTCTGGAAATAGCTGTAATGAAAGTAGGTCGCAGTGGTGTGAATTTGTTGCTTGAAGAAAAACTTCCCGATCTTGACTATAGGTATTGTCTTGTTTTGATCCCGATTACACTCAACCTATGGAAATCACACTTAATGATTCAGCATTTAGTGTCCATATGCGTGACATGTACTTTGCATCTTCCTAGTGCAGAGTACGTCTGAAAGACTGGGAGAAACCTGTCTGCACACAGTGTTTATGATAAACCATTAGAGAATGTAGATCAGTCCGTGAATCTGGCTAGTTGTGTGTGTTGTTGGTTGACTAATTAATGAAAAACAAGGAAGTTTACATCAATGTGACCCGTCTTTTGCGTCCTTGTGATGCTAGTTTGGATGTAAAAGTTCGCGTCATTTGCAAGTCAGCGAGACCAGTTTTGCCCTATTCTTACGAAGTCTGGCCTTTCTAAGCTGAAGAAACATAGAACTCAGTGGCAACATGTGTTATACTGAAATTCGGCTATATGTGTTTGCACATAGTACTGATGGCTCAGTTGGTGCCAGCATCTTAAAATACCGGCTTCGGTGGCTTGGACTTGTGTTACAAATGTAATCCCAGGAAATTCCTCATTGTTCGACAATTGCAAACTTTAAGAGGATGTAGAAAAAGCGAAAAGTTGGTATGAGAAGCCGTACAGGACTGGCATCTGTCAGCCCATCACGACCACCCGGTTAGGGTCTTGGAAATGGTGCAGCTCAGCGGTTTGAAACATTGTCAGACGTAGATCAAAATAGAAACCAATGGAGATTATTGCGGTAGTTTGCTTTTAAATTCTTCATGAAAAATCGAAGGAACTCCATTTGCTTGTGTTTTCGACTGGACTGCACCATCATATACTAGTCTCATTCACTTTTATTATTTGATTTGTTTCTGATTATACCTCTATATCTTTACAATTCCCTTTCCTTATTTTTATGGCATATATTTGGTTTTGGTGCCCAGTTGCTACAGAATGCATGTATATTAAACAGTTCGCTTCAAAAACCAACACTTTATCTAGTAAGCTACGGACTCCATATCAAATACAACAAAAGCGTGTGACTTAAAGCTTTATCGAGGCGATCCGCTCAAAATGTACATTTGGTAACAGAGACTGGCCAGTTGCAGTTTCGAATATCATCAATGGAACATTACAAATCTTCAGTAATACTTCCCGACCGTTGTTGCTACCTTGATGTGGTGGTCGGGCTTGCCTATTGTGATGAAGCAACTGAGCTATACTGGCTGGAACAACCGTCCCTCAAGGTCCTACCATGCCAGACAGGTCGGTTGAAGAGCGGTAAGACTAAAAGCAACCAGCCCAAGGTCCGAAGGCGAGGTCGTACTGCTGACTGTACTAAGGTGTGACAGCCGTAAGGTGTTTCCTTCAGACAACCAGCATGACAGCAACGTCGCCTTCCCACAAGAAGGGGTGAGGTTAAAAAAGGCCGACCCTAAAAATGCACACCTCACCTTATCTCACGGATATCCGTCTCCGGCGGTAAGGTCTCAACAAGTACGGAGCTAACACAAAAATTACTCATAGAAAGGTCCTGTGTGACCGACCTCAAGCAGCTGTCCCTTGGGCACTGCGGTCACGCTCTCAGGTCACTATGACCACCTCTAATCCAATTTCCTTTTCAGGTACCTCCAGAAGAACCCTTCCACGGTGTGGGCAACCGGGAAGTGATAACAGCACTCAAACGTCTAACTTTTAATCGTTTAGCCACATTGGAAACCGTTGTTCCTATGCTGTTTAGTCAGTCAACCATAAACAACGTCCAAGTTGTTCAATCACATCACATCGAGATGAAATTATCAAGAAGAATACCAAAGTAGTAGTGTGTGGTGTAATTGATATCAATAAAGACTATGTATAGATGATCTGATTCGAAAAATAGGATTAATTATCCAATTAAGAGGTATAAGGTAGTTGTAAAACTTAAGATCTAAAGGAAAATAAACACTGAATGCGAGTGCGCCACTACGACCTAACGTCTGTAATCATTGGTTGTGATAACCTCTCAAACCCCAACTAAGTAAACTACATATGACAACACGGTTCAGTCTAACAGTCAGTAACCTCATGAAGTGTTATTTAGTACTATTTTCTAAGTACAATTTCGTTTATATGTATACTTGTACATCTTATTTCATGTGTATTTGGTTTCACAGTATCTCAATTCTCAACGGTGCTCCTACTTTTAGTTTTATAGCTGTATATAATTATCGGAGTATTTATACTCATTGTCAGTGACTGCTTGAGAGTATGGTATATTTGAGCGGCGATTATAGTGAAATTATTTGCTTGTTGATGGGTCATAACAGTAATTTACAGAACCTTAGACTTAATTTACAAGTTCTTAATCAATTTGAAAATAAGTGCTTTCTTATATTTACTGACACACTAATATGATTTAATTTATTAATAGGTGTTTCAGTTAGGTGACTTATAGAATCATTGCTGAGTCCTCATAACTGGGTTTCATGAATATAGTTCTCTCAAAGCTAACGTTCTATTCTTTTTCCTTCAACAAACAGGACTTTGAGTGTGTTGAAGATGGAAAAGATCGTGGTAAGAATGTCCGTGAGAAAGCTCGTCATCTGAGTACGCTTCTTAGAGATGAGGAACGTTTGCACGAAGAACGTACAAAAGCTTTACTAGCACGTGACCGTTTGATGCATGGGGGTTTGGGAACTACGGCTTCGGCTGGAGATTCACCGGTTAAATATGGTGTCCTACAATCTGGTCGTAGTAGCTATCCTATTGGGTATTCTGGCTCCAACTATTTTGAAAAAGGAACCTTACCTTCAAGTTAGTGTATTTATGTTGTCTTAATTTTAATTTTTAATAATTAGCATCTTTACCATATATATATGCTTAATTGTTTTCTGATGTAGATCGCTTAGTTTGTTTTAGTAACTTACTTCATGTTCGTATGTTGCGTTATTCGTTGTGGCTAAGTAAACATTTCGGTTTTTTATGTAATCCTGATCCGTAATAGTATTTTTCGAAGTTTAGCATAAATCATTCATAATGTCTCAGGTAAACTTATAAGCAATTCTTATCACTTGATCCAGTATACTTATACTGTCTATGCATAAAGTCGTGATGTTGGCATTGGAAAACTGTTATTTTTGGTATTGAATATTTTACTGAGTTTGGATAGTATGTCTTAATTTTTAGAATCTGTTTCTCATGCTGCAACTGAATTAGAATCCGTTAGACCTCAATCTGCTGGAGAAGAACAATTACATCTTCAACTTGCTCTGGCTATCAGTAAAGAGGAACATGATCGAGAAGAACGGCGGAGACGAGCTGAAGAAGCTAAAGAAGAAGCCAAGGTACAAATGGTAATAGAGCAGAGTCGTCGAGAAGAACAGGTAATAATTTTTCGTTGTTTCTAATTCTATGTATATCAAAAGAAAGTAGAGAATATCAGGGCAAACAACTGTTTCCCGTAATCTCTTCTAACTTCACATTTATACATTTATCAATACTGTGTAACATTAAACAGGATATTAGCGTACAAATATAAACTTTATGATTAAATAAGTCGATGGTATAAATAAAAAATAACGGATTTCAAGTCGATTAGGTTTTAATTACCAGCAAAATGTGTCATTGATAAAGTTGGAAACATGCGAAATGGATAAGAATAATGTATACACACATATTGGTGTGATTGAGGATACTTTTTCCCTTCTCAGTTGATTTTAGTAAAATACTTTTTTATTATTAGAATGAGGGTCTGTGGAAATTGTGATGATTTATAACTAGTTGAATTCATGAGTCGATGAGTGGATGCGCACTACTGAGGAGTTCCATACTAGGACGAAACGGCTGTCCAGTACTTCCAAGTTTTCAATGGTGGTCTAGCTTACATCGACTCATGAACTCAACTATTAAAAGTGATTTTTTGTTTCTTTCACTGTCTTCCCTAATTTTGGAAATTTCGAGAGAACTCATAAAAGTAGTCTTTTATTGAAGGGACGTTAGTATTGGTCGAAAAAAATTGAACTCAACTTCCGGGTGTATCACACTTAAGTTGGCTTCTACCTACTCTTCCTTTTATTTTCTCTCCATGACTTACATGCTTACTCTCTTACTATCGATGATGCTATTACCATTTCATTTCATTTAATAATCATCGCTTCAATTTCGTCTTGGTGTGTTGATGTGGTATCGATGCACACTTTCTCCAAGTTCTGCATCAGTTATGACTGATGGACAGGTTTCTACCCATGAAAATGTGTTCATCAGAACGTTTTTGCAATTTACGCTTATACACATTGAAATCAGAGTTAAAATGTTTGAAAATTTTCCTGATAAACTCGTTCACTTTTCACCTTGTTCGTTAATACTCTAAATATAACTGTTCATAATTATTTACTTACGCCTGTTACTCGTGAAAGAGCATAGGCCGCTCACCAGCATTCTCCATCCAACCCTGTCCTGGGTAATCCTTTCCAGCTCTTTCCAGTTCTTATTCATCCTTTTCATATCCGCTTCTATTTCCCGACGTAATGTGTTCTTTGGCCTTCCGCTTTTCCGCCTCCCTTCAGGATTCCAAGCTAGCGCTTGTCTCGTGGTGCAGTTTAATGATTTGCGTAATGTATGTCCTATCCATTTCCATCGTCTTTTCCTAATTTCCTCTTCAGATGGAAGCTGGTTGGTTCTCTCCCACAAAAGGCTGTTACTGATGGTATCCGGCCAATGGATGTTGAGTATCATGCGTAGACAGCTATTGATAAATACTTGTACCTTCTTGATGGTGGTTGTTGTAGTTCTCCAGGTTTCAGCTCCGTACAGTAGAACTGCCTTGACATTCGTATTGAAGATTCTGACTTTGATATTGGTTGAAAGTTGTTTTGAGTTCCATATGTTTTTTAATTGAAGGAATGCTGTCCTTGATTTGCCAATCCTCGCCTTGACGTCTGCATCTGAACCTCCCTGTTCATTGATAATGCTTTCCAGGTATGTGAAGGATTCTACATCTTCCAGAGTTTCACCATCAAGAGTGATTGGATTGCTGTTCTCCGTGTTGTATTTGAGGACCTTGGTTTTCCCTTTGTGTATGTTGAGGCCTACTGATGCAGAAACTGCTGCTACGCTGGCTGTCTTTATCTGCATTTGTTCGTGTGTATGCGATAGGAGGGCTAGGTCATCTGCGAAGTCCAGATCGTCTAATTGGTTCTGAGCTGTCCATTGTATGCCGCGTTTTCCCTCAGATGTCGAGGTCTTCATAATCCAGTCGACCACCAGAAGAAAGAGGAAGGGAGAGAGTAGACAACCTTGTCTTACTCCGGTCCTCACTTGGAATGCGTCTGTCAGCTGTCCTCCATGCACTACTTTGCACTGTAGTCCGTCGTATGAGTTTCGGATAATGTTGACAATCTTCTCAAGAACTCCATAGTGTCGAAGAAGTTTCCATAATGTTCTCCTATCTACACTGTCAATCGCCTTTTCATAATCAATGAAGTTGATGTATAGTGACGAGTTTCATTTAACTTATTGTTCGACGATGACCCGTAGTATCACAATTTGGTCGTGCATGACCGCTCCTTATGAAGTCCAGGCTGTCGATATCGAAGTTGGGCGTCTACTGAGTTTCATTCGGTTCAGCAACACTCTGTTGAAGACTTTCCCTGGTACTGACAGTAGTGTGATGCCTCTGTAGTTTTCACACTTGCTCAGATCTCCTTTCTTTGGAATCTTGATGTTGTGTCCTTCTTTCCAGTCCATCGGCACTTGTCCCTCCCAAATCTTCTTGAATAGAAGATGGAGCATGTTTGTAGTTACTTCGATGTCTGACTTCAGTGCTTCATCCGGTATATTGTCGGGTCCTGCTGCTTTCCCGCTCTTGATTTGTCTGATGGCCATTCTGATTTCTTTCGTCGTTGGTGGATTGACATTTATAGGAAGATCTGTGTGTGCTGCTTCGATACCCGGTGGAGTCATTGGAGCCGACCTATTCAGGAGTTCCTCGAATTACTTTGCCCATCTATTCCGCTGTTGTTGAATTTCAGTGATTTGCCTGCCTTCTTTGTCTTTGACCGGTCTCTCTGGTTTACTATATTTTCCTGCTAGTTTCTTCGTTGTATCGTAAAGCTGTTTCATATTTCCTTCTCTTGCAGCTTTTTCCGCCCTCGTTGCTAGTTCTTCCACGTATTTCTGCTTGTCGGCTCTAATACTCTTCTTCACTTGCTTGTTTGCTTCTATGTACTCAGCTTGTGCTTGGACTTTCTCTGCTCGTGTTGGACTATTGTTAATTGCTGTCTTCTTGTTCTTCCTTTCTTTAATCTTGTCCAGTGTTTCTATAGAGATCCATTCCTTGTGATGATGCTTCTTGGGGCCCAGAACCTCTTGACACGTTGAAGTTAATGCTTCTTTGATACCTTTCCAGCTATCCTCCATAGTAATTTCTTCTTCCTTCAGTAGATCCTGTAAGGCTTGGAACTTGTTGTTGAGGGCTATCTTGAATTCATTGAGTTTGTCATTATCTCAAAGGAAGGCTGTATTGAACCTTTGTAGCGCTGTTTGTCCAGTTGTCCAGTTCTTCTTTAGCTTCAGTTTTAAATTGGCCACAACCAGGTAGTCATCTAAAGCTATGTCAGTTCCTCTCCTGGTTCTCACGTCTTCCATTGACCTTGTGAATTTTCTACTGATGCAAATATGATCTATTTGGTTCTCCGTGGTGTGGTCCAATGAGATCCATGTAGTTTTGTGTATACGTTTGTGTGGAAATATTGTGCCGCCTATGACCAATTTGTTGAATACACACAGATTTGAGAATCTTTCCCCGTTTTCGTTTCTCTCTCCCAGTCCATGCAGTCCCATGATATCTTCATATCCGGTGTTGTCTATTCCGACTTTGGCGTTTAGGTCTCCCATCAGAATGGTGAGGTCCTTTCTTGGGTACTTCTGTATGATCGACTGCAGCCTTGAGTAGAACTGATCTTTACCGTAGTGGTTGCTATCATTGGTGGGTGAATAACATTGGATAATGTTCATTGTGTTTACTGTTACTTCTTTATTCGTTCTTGTTCAAAAATTTCATCATATTGGTGGTTCTACTTTCAGAGATAAATTTCTTTATTGTTTATGAGAATAGTTTTTATTTAACTAATAATTGAGATAACCAGAATGAAGAAAACTATACTAAAATGATGGTTTAACAATTATTTACATTCTTTTATAAAATTTTCGTGTGACAGCCGAGAATTTTTAACAATAACACAGGTGTATTAACTCTTTATCTTCGTTTCGATCTTGAATTTCACTATTCCTTCGTACACCATATTATCAATGTTCAGCCGTTTTTATTATCATTGCTACCGCATTATGTTAATTCATCTATTATTCATTTTATTAATTTAATTTCGTCGTCCTAATATGTTTTGATATCTTGGGTTGGGTACATCTGTGCCAGAACCTATTTCTATTAAATTGACTGAAATCCTTTGGGGATAAACTTGGGATTTTTAAGCTTTATATAATTAATAGTAATTCTTACCTTTATTTGGATATACAAGTTTCCTTGTATCTGATAAATTTGTCTTATAAATTATTTGATTGAAGTCATATTTGTAACTCAATCTATTATCAAGTTAATTATATTTCTTCAAACCTTTGAATTAAATGATTAATACTGTTTAGTTATGTTATCATGTTCTCACTATTAATATAGAAGGATAAATCAGGTAAACATTCAGTTTCCAATATTCCTTCTGGATCTAGTAGTGCCTTTGAACCACCAAGTTGTGCTCCTAGTGGTGGATTATTCAATTTAGTTGATACTTCTTTGTCAGTTGCACCAGCTCATTTACCGGATCCATGGTCTGCTCCTTTAGCAGTTCCGAGCAGTTCGTTAAGTAATAATACATCATCACCTCCATCCACATCATTTAATAATACCAATATACAACAGTCAACGTTTCCACTTATCCCTATTGATGATCCTTGGAGCCCGAAAAGTAACTGATTTTTACTGTATACTTTTATTTAAAATTTCTTGTTTGATTAAATGATACATATAACTCTTCCGTATACATACAAATTATTTGATAGTGTCATGATTTAATAATTGAAACACTCAACTCCCAACTATTTAGTTTACAGGCTGAAAACTTACTTCCACCACGACTTAATATCAATAAACATCATATATTTGATGTTTCTTTAGGCTGACCAAATGAATTTATACCTGATTGCCGAGTGATGTAATGAAAAAATTAGGATTTATACTTGTGATCCTACCGGGTACGAGATAATACGACCAGCAATATCAGTAGTTGCTGATGCTAGATAATTAAACTCAGTACTAGACTTGGCACTCGACCAACATACTAGGTAACATATTGCTCGAAAAATCACTTTATGCACACAGTTACACAATATCCGGCTTACGATTAAAAGTCAGATTAGATTAGACAATAGTTCATTGACATAAATCCAAGTAGAAATAAACCATTCTCATATTCATATCAAAATAATCTGTTATAGCTCCGATGTGTACCTCTGTTTACTGACCAATCACGGCTCAGCTTCACTTGACGTATCAGTGGGTTGCATATCTTAGTGTTTAGATTTGCCTTCGTTGATTGACTAAGCTTCAGGTATAGAAACAATGGAATAAAGTTGAAAAGTAAAACTACGGGTTATGATTGTTATTTGAACTGATGATCTTCGCTTAACTGACCTCATGTACTGTCGACTAGCTGATGTACAAGATCGAACTTTCAATCCGACAAAATATGCCTTGTTATAAGTTTTTATCCGTTAGTATTATGTTTTTAACAGTCGTATGTTATTGTTTGATAAACAAGATTGACTTACAATTGTTTACATTCATCCGAAAATACATCTTATTGGCAGGAAATTGCTTCTTTATGATCTCTTGGAATTCAGCCTAATCGTGTTTAATTTCTCTACTATACCAGCGCAAAATCTACACAATTTTTCATCCAAATAGCATAGCAATTTAACCAGAGGTAACTGACAGGAGTTACTGTATTGATCGTTTCATATAAACGACTGTACTTCACTGAGTGCAAAAGGAAATATTGTTTTATTAGTCGTTATCCAGATGTTTGTCATTTTGTCAACTACTTGTACAATTAGTGATCAGTATGACAAACCTCTAAGCGGAGACATATTTTACCGGGTTTTAAACTTAAAATACATAGATTCATGTACTAGATGATGAATTATACCACCTTATTGGAATTTTCTTGGGTGGAGAGTGTCAAAAGGATTTCGAACATTCTACCAATGGTCGTAAGCCTAAACAATTAAAAAAGTTGTTTGTAAAAGTTATGATCAGACTGTGTCGTACAGCTCTTTTCTGGTGTCTCTGTATTGCACTTAGTTGTGTTGTAATTTAATCCCTATAGTCTTATAATTTTTTCTTAACTGGTTTGTTAGGGGACTGAATTTGTTATATCCTGAAAGTATTGCTTAGGCTTGGTAATACTACTAGGTGGGTAATAATGAGGCTAAACGTAGGATACTGGCTAAGGTAGACAGGTCCTTGAGTTTTCAAACATTTATCAACTGCAAGTGTTTGGGCGTATTTACTACATCTCTATGCGTTAGTTAGTGCAGACGTCTTTTTGGGAGCCGTACAACAATCGTACTCAGTTGTTGGAAACCTTAGATGACACTGCCCGAAGTGCAGTAGCAACAATGAGGATACTTTCATTTCTTATTTCTTCGGTTCTTCACTATTTTTGATATGATTGTTCTTTGACTTCCTTGATTTCCAACTTTTTAATTTTCTCTTTAACTGTTTTAATGTGGGGTATGGCCACTTAGCTCGGCTCACAATTATATCAGGTCCTGCATAGATTGTAAACAATTGACAACACTATACAAGAATAGTAAGGGTTTAATATTATCCAGCTATTGATACTCAAAAATTTATTTGATCAGTGTTTTTGTCATATGTGCACCATGACCAGATGCTTCCATATTGCTTACTGGTAAGACGTTTTCGTGTCGTTTTAGCTAACATTGAAGTATAAGACACGCTTTTGGTCCAATTTTAAGCTCTTCAGTTGTACGCTAGATATAGTCCAGGAAAATACCGAAAACACAGATTTACAGCCCTTTATATTTACAATGGATTTTATAATCAAATAGTAAACTTATATTTAGCTTGACTGTATAAAATAGCCTACAGTGAAAACCGACATTTTATGGGTACTGCTAACACGCCAATTTGTCCAGTGATCAATAAAAATGTCTGTCCTTGATTGTGTGTTTGGTTTCATCAACTAATTCGTACGACAACTATGTGATCGGTCATAATAACAATATTTGGTGATAATATATAAGACCATATCGAAATGACGGGGATCATTTGTAGCTCAAGTGGATGCTTTTAGTAAAGTTTTCTGATCTAAAAGTAACCATTGATGGTGATTTTGTCTTGAACGACAACGAGAGGTTCATAATTAAGCCATCTACATAAGAACACCCGACATTACTATAAAATTGTATCTCCGATTACCAATGTATTTAAGCAAGAAATTGGTTGAAATCTTCCAATTTTTGAACGCACTTCCAATATATTTTCCTAAAGGTAACATTATAAATTTATTTCTAGGACTTTTTGTAATAATGTACATCGTTAGGGATTTCAACAGATAGATTATTTTTTTAGCTAAATATCATATTTATATCACTGAATACTCAGCTGTTGTTTCACCTTTCAAATAAATGTTAGCATCGTTCAGAAAAATGTTACTATTCTGCAAAATACCATATTATGTTAATTAATATTGTTTTGAAACCAAAAGTTCGGTGGTTGAAGGTTTCAAATTTTTAGGTCCTTGGGTTTCATACTTGAAGTATACTTCAAGTAGTTTAATTGGTCTGGGCCGGATAGTGTCCCTGACCGTTGCACGAACAATGGGGTTTTTAAGAGTCAACTACATAAAAACCTGTATTTTGTAAATGAGTTGCAATATTTTCAAATTATCTATATTTTCAATAGATCAACCAAATATTCCAACACATTCTACAACAAGTAATTCCGATGAAATGTGGAATTTGGAATCAACTTTAGGTGCTACATTACCGTCCACTTCTAATACAAACACCGAATCAGTTATTTCCAACCATCATACCAACAATGGTAGTAATCTCAATAATAACAATGGGCATTTTGATTTTGATTTGAATGGAACTTCAAATAATATTAATGATAATTTTTCGCAACAGTTTCAACAGCAGTCCACTTTTCAAAATTCACAAACATCTTTAACCATAGACCAACAACAGCAAGAACAGCAGACTGTACGTAAACGAACTCCTGCTGACTTTTTAGGTGAACATCAGAAATTAGTTGACTTGGAAAAGTTGATTGAGAAAAATCCAGGTAAGTCCTTGCAAAATTGTTTTATTGTTTACAATCTATTCACATGTTTGATTTCTCAAATTTTACTGGTTTAGTGGCAGTTATTATTCTTACTCCATCTATCTTTATCTAAACACTTGAGTGGTACTTGCCTTCTCCACATACATTTAATACCTGTAACTTCATAGTGGTGTTTAAAATTTGTACTTAATCTTTGTGTTATAGCTCATCTTTGATATAAGCTTCCCGTAATTTTAGGTTATTGTAGACGTATTTTCTTCTTAAAGTTTTCCAATCATTAAATTTTCGTTATATAATCTTGTCAATCATATTAGTTATCAGTCTTAGTGAGTTGTTCACATATGATTTCATTAAGTTGTTTGGATTTGATGAATTGAACTATTTTCAATCTATGCACTTTAAAATGTTAAGTATTCAGAGTATAGTCATATGTAAATTAATCGTTCTATCCTTTTTATCTGTACGTTTTTGCTTATATTCGAATATCCTTTCATATGTGGACTCACCATCATCAGGTTCGTTGTCCCAATTAAACTCTATCAATTTATTTATAGGATGGATATCAGTCTCGATTTGAATAGCTCGGGGATGTTAATCTTTTGTAATTGTGACATCGGGTAACAAAGGTTAGAATTCCATACGGTGCATGAGCACCCCTGACACTTTAGATACATCTTGTTGACAAGTGGCAACTTTCATGGAAGGTCTAAACATACTACAACTCACTCACCAAGTACAGTCTTATGTAGTAGACCTTGAGCCACATACTGTTTGTACGAGGACTATTCAGTCAGTCAGTCAATCAGTCAGTAACAACGTGGAACTTCGTACGTACGTACATCAGTTCGAGTTGCCATACCACATTAGCACAGAGATTCAGTTATCGATTCAAATCCCGTAGTGGTAGGGGTACTAAAAGTATAAGTAGTGATAGGGAACATTAGGGTTTGAAGAAGTTATTTAAGGAGAATAGTCCAGTGGAATAGATTTGGAAAGAAAATAAAGGACATGAAGAATACAGAAGATTAGAGTTTGAGAGAACACAGAGAGTGGATGCACCTGCGTCATTGCAAACGATTTTGAGCCATGTCATTCAAGGTCTCTAACCATCGGTTGCTATCGTCTCGCGGTCCCCAACCAGGTAGTCTACACCTACCAACATGGCTCAGTCCACTTGTCAGTGACTTCATGGATTCGTGCCACACCTAGCTTTCTTCCAGCCTGCTCCAACAGCATAAAACATCTCACGTCGGGGCAGTCGGTGGTCGGCATACGTAATACGTGTACCAGCTATCTCAACTGATGAAGTTTCATTACTTCATTAATTGATCTGCCATCCTTAACTAGTACCCGTTTCCATACAACTGAGTTACTTACTCCATGATCCCAGGATATACGAGCAATGTTTCGAAGACATCTATGATCAAATACTAGTAACCTAGGCATATCCTCTACTCTTGCCAGCCATGTTTCAATGCCATAAAGTAGGATGGAACAAACTGCTATGTAGTAAACACGTCCTTTGGTTGATAGACGGATATCTCGCCTACGCCACAAATGACGCAAGTTGGCAAAGGCAAGTCGAGCCTTCTGTATCCGTGCTGAGATTTCGTCACACACCAAACCACAAGGGCTGATGAGACTTCCAAGATAAGTGAAGTGGTCGACACGCTCAACTACTTCACTCCCTATCACTAGTTCGGGTGTCGACGCAACCCAATCCTGAAGCAACATTTTGCATTTTGAGGGGGAGAATCGCATGCCGAACATGCTTGCATTGTTGCTTAAAGTGGTCAGCAGACTGCATTTTGTCAGCGTCTTCACTAAATAGAACTATGTCATCGGCATACTCTAAGTCAACAAGTGAATCTTACGGTAGAAGTTCAACCCCTGGAAAGTCAGATGTGGAAAGTGTTATCTCTAAAAGCACGTCAACGACAAAGTTAAACAGGAATGGAGAGAGTGGACAGCCCTGACGAACACCACTTGAGGCAATCAATTCTGATGACAGTTCACCATAAGCCCTCACTCGACCTGTTGTGTTCGAGTAGAGAGCCTTTACAAGGTTAATGTACTTCTTTGGTACTCCTTTCAGTGTCAAACACTACCATAGAACCTCAAGATCAACAGAGTCGAATGCCGCATTAAGGTCGAGAAATACTACGATTGTGGGGCGTCTGAATGTGTGTCTATGTTCTAGAACCTGATGCAGTGTGAATATCTGGTCCATACAACCACGTCCAGGTCGAAAATCAGCCTTGTTTTCTCTAGTCCGCTCTTCACGTACTTTAGTTAGGCGTCGAAGTATTATCGAAGCTAATATTTTAGACACTATATTAGTCAAACTGATTCCTCCGTGATTGTCACAAAAGAAATTTCGTCCTTCTTTATAGACTGGCACAATCAGTGATTAAGACCAGTCAGATGGGATTACGTCCAGTTCCCAGATTCTACCTAAGACCTCAGTCAATTTCGCTGCTAATACTGGACCACCATCCTTAAAAATCTCAGAGGTAAACCTGTCAGGGCTTGCCGCTCTCCCACGCTTCAGATTTCCTATAGCATTTTCAACTTCGTAGAGAGTTGGAGGACTTACATTAACTTGCCATTCAGGTAGACTGGAGAATGTGGGAAACCGAAGTGTGGCTGAAGGCCTGTTGAACTGATCCTTAAAGTGTTCTGCCCATCGATCCAATCTCCTGGATTGAGAATGAACAATATGTCCATCTTTTTCTGAGATAGTTTCGTTAACAGTTGGGTTCCCAATACCGGTTTCCTTAACAAGTCTGAATAGTTGCCTGCTGTTACCTATTGCTGCTACCTTTTCCATCTCTCGCTTTCGCTACCCACCACTGTTCACGATCATTGCGTAGGCTTCTTGTCAGCTTACGCTTAAGCCTACTCCGCTCTTCGTTATGTTCAGAGCCAGATGGAATGAGTTTTCGAGCATCTATCAGTGCGGTAGATGCTGCTGAGATCCAGTGTTTCTCCCTAACCTCGTGGTTTACCGTACTTGCAGACATCACTGCTGTTTCCACAGCTATTCGGATGTCATTCCACGCTGCCTCGGGGTGGGCATCACTTACATGGCTGTCTAACTGTTTTTCTAGTTGTTCTTGAAATATACTCTTAGCTTGACTATCATTAAGTAGAACCCCAAGGGGTTTCCTTGTACCATCTTTCCTACGTCCAGTAAGACGTAAACAAATACGTGCTCGCACCAGAGCATGATCTGAGTCTAAACATGTGCCCCAGAATGAGCGACAGTCTTCTATCGAGCCCCTCCATCGGTGGCTGATAGCGATGTGATCTATTTGGGTCCAGCGTTGAGACGAATTAGGGGGTCGCCATGTTAAAAGATGTTTTTCCTTATGCTTAAAGTTAGTGTTTGCAAGAAAGAGGAGGTTATCTGAGCATAGCTGCAACAGACGGTCGCTGTTATCTGTTCTTTGAGCCGCGACACCATAAGATCCACCCAGGTGTCTTTCCCTTTCGCTTAGTTTACCTACTTAAGCATTAAAGTCACAAGCCACTATTACTACATCAGAGCGCCTAACTTATCGGAGAAGGTTGGAAAGCTTTCTGTAAAACTCATCTCTTGTATCATCTGAGTTGCAGTTAGTGGGAGAATAGGCAGAGACGACGAAGAGGCAACGACGAGTGCCCTTATCTTTCCGAGTCCTTACTGTTCCGTATAGTCGGACAGCGCACAAACGACTGTCAACCTTTTCTAACCCCTTCCTTGTGAGAAGGCAGCATCGCTGCAGATGCTGGTTGTCCAAGGGAAACACCTTACTGCTGTCACACCCCTCTACAGTCAGCAGTACGACTTCACTCTCAGACCTTGAGTTGCTGCTTTTAGTCTTACCGTTCCCCAATCGACCTGCCTGGCATGGCAGAATCTGCAGGAACATGTGTTCCAGCCAATATAGCTCGGTTGGGTCATCACGATAGGCAAGCCCGACCACCACGTCAAGATAACAGCTACGGTTGGGGACTATTCGGTTGCCCAAAGCAAAGCAAGTTGATTGCGGTATTAACCTCTGAGGTGCTAGTTAAAAGTCTAGTAACCTAACCATTAAACTACTTCTCTTTAGTCAACTTTAAAAGTAAATCATCGACAGTTTTCATCTAAGCTGAAATTAAGGCAGACTTCTGGTTCTTTTTTGATTCGTTTATCTCACATGATTAGACGACAGTTCCTAAAAATCATGTTTTTAACTGTACGAAAAATCCTGCTATCTATTTTTAAAGTTTACATATTTAAATATTGCAAATGAGAACACTACGAACCTATGAAATTATGGTAATTGATTACTACATTAATCTGACCGCTCAGAAAAGTGTAGGTAATTGTTATATCTGACGAAGATTAAATGAATGGCAACTGCCTGGATTCATTTACGGATTATTATTGTATATAACCTTATTGTATAATTATTAAGTAACTAGATTATATATATTCTTTTTATCATGAGCTTTCCTTTGACGAATTAATTACTTTTATGTTATTTACTACTCATAATCTGCTGCCAGCTTATTATTCGCAGTCACTCTTCGGCGCGATCACATATGATTGTTGTTTTTCATTTTATGGTGTGATGTGGTTGAATATGTCTGTATATAAACTACGAATACTTGAAACATAATATTTTTGTAGTGGAGGATGGTTAATCTGTTCTGGACTCAACGGGCAGAGCAGGGAGAGTAGCTACCGTGTCGGTGACCAATCAAGACTTAGCTGTGAATCAAAGCTACGAGTCTTGGTTGGCTTAGAAGCTAAGTGATAGAAATTAATATTCTGAATTGTGTTTTTTTCACAATTAGTGAGCGTCCATGAGTCATAACAGTAATGAAAGTGATGTAGAAATCGGTTATAAAAAATTATCTTTTCATCCTTATACTGATCTCTCAGTAAGGCAGCATTATTGTTGCACTTATTCAATAAATTGCACTTCATTCACAATTAGCGTCTCTGTACAGTCTAATTAGGACGGATT